CCCCCGCCCCGGGCTGTTTCAGATCCGCGATCTTCAGATCTCAGCCTCCTGAGTAGCTAGGATTACAGGCGCCCAGCTGCAAAATATTTTCAAGATGACCAACAGAACGCTGTTCTGGTGTAACCATTTATCCAGTCAGGACTTGAGTGGACGGATCCCACCGCCCACACAGCGCCGACTGTCCCTTGCTTTAGGTCTTCACCGACCCAATGCTGGATGCAATGCCTAAGAACGTGAAGTCAGGGGAGGTGCTGGCAATCGAGGACCTCCTGTGCCCGAAAAGGGCCAATTCCCTGCTAAGAGCTGCCTTACTCCTCCACCCAAGGTATGCCAGAAGTGGAGCTGAGGTGCACACATCTGGATTCCCTCTGCGCCGGTTCCAAGTCGACGCTGTCCTGCTCATTAAAGGATTGCTCCTGCTCCAGTAAGGTGACTCATGCTGTGGGCAGGCTGGAACATCTTCCCATGCGGTCCGGGAAAGGCGGGGCCTGGGATGGACGGTGGGCGGGCAGGGCGTCTGTTCCCAGACTTGAGCCCGCCCGCTGGGTCCGCCACGGGGGGAGGAGTCAGAGCCTGTTCACTGGCCCACGGGGGTTGGCTCTCAGGACGGCCCCCTGGAATCTGGAAACAATTTTTTCGTTTTCCCCTCAAGTATGAAATCAGGGCCTAGCACCAGTGACTCACGCCTGTAGTCCCAGCAACTCAAGAGGCTAAGATTTGAGGATTATGGCTCGAAGCAGCCCAAGGTGGAAAGTGTGTGAGACTTCCATGTTCAATTCTTTTTTTTTTCTTTTTGTCGGTCGTGGGGCCTCAACTCTGGACCTGGGTGCTGTCCCTGAGCCTCTGTGTGCTCAAGACTAATGCTCTACCACTTGAGCCACAGTGCCACTACCTGGGCTGGGACTTTATCTTAAGGATAACATATCCCAACTGGGGAGAGGTACACAGAGGTTACTCTATTCAAGGTTTCTGGGGCAGGGGGAAGAGGGAGCTGGGAAGAATGCTGTGCAGCTTTTTTTTTTTTTTTTTTTGGTATACTGGGTTAGGTCTCAGGGTTTCTGCTAGTTAATCAGATGCTCTACTGCTTAAGCCATGGCTCCAGCCCAATTAAGCAGTTTCAAAGAATGACTGCCATTGACCAGTGGCTTGCATCTGTAATCCTAGCTACTCAGGCGGCTGAGATCTGAGGATCATGGTTCAAAGCCAACCCAGGCAGGAAAATCCATGACTTGTCTGTGCCAGTCCTGGGGCTCAAACTCAGGGCCTGGGTGCTGTCCCTGAGCCTCTTTGTGCTCAAGACTTGAGCCAATGTGCCACTTCTGCCTTTTTGAGTAGTTTATTGGTGATAAGAGTCTCATGAGGATTTTTCTTTTTTCTGTCGGTCATGGGGCCTGAACTCCCGGCCTGGGTGCTGTCCCTGAGCCTCTTTGTGCTCAAGGCTAGCGCTCTACCACTTGAGCCACAGCGCCACTTCTGGCTTTTTTCTTTTTGTTTATGTGGTGCTGAGGAATCGAACCCAGGGCCTCGAGCATGCAAGGCAAGTGCTCTACCACGGAGCTACCTTCCCAGCCCCCTCACAAGGATTTTTCTGCCCAGGCTGGCTTCGAACTGCAATCCTCAGATTTCAGCCTCCTGAGTAGCTAGGATTACATATATGAGCACCAGCATCCAGCTGCCTTGAGATGCATATCTCCAATTAACCACCAGAAAACCATACCCTTGAGCAAAAGAGCTCAAGGACATATAGGCTGAGTTCAAGCCCCACAACTGACAAATTAAAATAATAAGAGTCATAACAAGTTAAACACTGTCATTTCACTTCTACCAGACTACTGGTAAAATCAAGACAGTAGAATAACCAAGGGGAAAAAAAGACAGTAGAATGGTGGGGCAGTGCCACTTCAGTCTTTTTCTGTTTATGTGGTACTGAGGCCCAGAGTTTCATGCATGCTAAGCAAGCACTCTATCACTAGTGCTTTTTTTTTTGGGGGGGGGTGTGCGCACATGCACATGCACGCGCCAATACTTGGGCTTAAACTCAGGATATTAAGTACCTTTCTTGTCAAACTTGTTACCCCTTCCCTCATTTTTTCTCCTACTTCCCTGAGCTTTTTTGCTCAAGGCTAGTGCTCTACCACTTTGAGCCACAGCTCCACTTCTGGCTTTCTGGTGATTAACTGGAAATAAGTCTCAAGGGTCTTTCTTACCTAGGCTGACTTTGAACTGTGATCTTCAGATCTCAGCCTCCTTATTAACTAAGGTTACAGGCATGAGCCACCAGCACCCAACTTCTATGAAACTCTTGTCTGCAGGTAACCAGCAAAAAGCCAGAAGTGGGGATGTAGCTCAACTGGTAAAGCAGCAGTCTTGAGCAGCAAAGATAAACAAGAGAACCTCATGTGTCAGCCCCGAGTAGCTAGGATTATAGGCGTGAGCCACCAGCATCCAACTATGAATTTTATCTTAATAAAAAAAAGTTGGAGCCAGGCACCAGTGGCTCACACCTGTCATCCTAACTATTCAGGAAGCTGAGATGTGAGATTGTAATTTAAAGCCATCCTGAAAACGGAAATTCCTCCTGGGAATGGGAGTGTGACTCAAGTGGTAGAGTTCCAGCCTTGGGCAAAAAAGCTAAATGAGAACATAAGGTCCTGAGTCAAGCCCCATTACTGGAACTAAATAAATAGCTGTGGGGGGGGGTGGCCTAAAGGCCCAGCTACTTCGGAGTCTGAGGTAGGACTGCTTGAGGCAATGAGTTCAAGAACAGCCTTAGCAACATAGCAAGACACCATCTCAAAACCTATGAGAGCCAGGCACCAGTGGCTCACGCTACTCAGCAGACTGAGATCTGAGGATTGAAGTTCAAAGTCAGCCCAGGCACAAGTCTGTGAGACACCTATCTCCAATGAACCACCAGAAAACTGTAAGTGGTGCTGTGGCTCAAGTAGAGCACCAGCCTTGCGCTGAAGAGCTCAGGGACAGTACCCAGGCCCAGAATCCAAGCCCCATGACCAACAAAAACAAAACAAAAACCAGCAAGGGATCAGGATGCTATTGGCTCACATCTTTAATGCTGACTACTAGGCTCAGATCTGAGGACTGAGGCTCCAAGCTAACCCAAGCAGTCTATCAGGAAAACCCGGAAGTGGAGCTGTGCCTCATTGAATCCTGCTGTGCAAGCAGGGCTGCCAGTCAAGCCCCACACACTGCATTCTGTCCCTCAGGATGTCACCTCTCCTCAGCCAGTCCTAACACAGTCAGGGCTGGTCAAGATGTGACCACAACACATGCTTTTTAAACTCAAATCCTAGACTCCCTTCAAGTACAGCCCTTCAATCTGAGTTTTTGCTTTGGCATTAGAAAATAAGATAGGCGCTGGTGGCTCACGCCTGTCATCCTAGCTACTCAAGGAGGCTGAGATCTGAGGATCGCGGTTCAAAGCAGCCTGAGCAGGAAAGTCTGAGACTATGTCCAATAAACCACTAGAGGAAGTGATGATGTAGCTCAAGTGGTAGAGTGCTAGCCTTGAGCTGAGGGACAATGCCCAGGCACAGAATTCAAGCCCCATAACCGACCAAAAAAAATAGACTAAAGAGACACAGTTGAGGCTTCTGGCTAACACTGATGGAGCACATGCCCCACTAGCTGGTAAGACCTTGAATTCAAATCCCAGCACTAGTATCCACCAGTACCCACTGGAGTACAAACTCCAGTGCCACCCAATGAAGAACCAGATGGCAAGACATATTAGACATAATGCAAGTTTTATTGGGGAACATGATTGAAGTGGGGGTGATATAGCTCAGTGGATGGAGGCCTTCATGAGTGCAGGGCTCGCCACTTATCCAGAGGACCACGATTCGGGATGTATTTGACTCCACAGCCATCAGGGATGAGGCGCTTCTCAGCTACCATGTCTTCAAACTCATCCGCATTGAACTTGGTAAAGCCCCACTTCTTGGAGATGTGGATCTAGGGAGATGGGAAAGGACGAAGGTGAGATGAACAGGGACAAGCGAAGAAAGGGGAGATGGGGCTTGCAGTACTACTCACCTTCTGACGACCAGGGAACTTGAACTTGGCCCTGCGTAAGGCCTCAATTACATGTTCTTTATTCTGCAGCTTGGTGCGGATGGACATGATTA